GCTACTCCAATATGAAATTGTAACGGAATTAAACATTTTCTAAGTTATCTTCGAGGAAAATTTGATATGGTATTTATTTTACTTAAATAAATCAAAGTCGGGTTTAATTATTTATGTAGATATAGGTTATTTATTTGATCTATACAAAACTTGATCACAAACAAATTATATATTTGCACTTAGTGATACAACTATATCATGACGTTCTATGAAGCAAACTATAGTTGTTAAATTTTCAAACCATGCAAAAATACCAATTCATTAGGCAAGTTGATAATATGTTTGGCTAAGATTAACGACCCATCATATCCGAAAGCGCTTTATATACCAACAAAAAGAAGTCCTAATAATATTATATGAAGATAATGCTTCTTGCATAATTCAATTAAAGGAAGAATTCGATCAAGTGACAAGCTAATCGATTTGTTCACTAAGGCATTACCTACCATAACTTTTGAAAAAATGATTCACAAGATTGAAATACATTAACTTAAAGATCTCAAATAATGTTTTCAAGAGGGGGAGCCAAAGGCTAACATTGAGATTAATGTGTACAAAAAATATTGTACTTTTTTTTCACTTGGATTTTTTTCTCATTGAGTTTTTTCCTAATAAGGTTTTAACGAGGCATGTTCCTTGTATGATGGACATTCAAGGGGAGTGTTATGAAATAATGAATGTCCATGATCATTTCATATTCCTCACTATTCATATGATTTAATTCACTATTCAATATAAGAAATTGAAAGGGTGATATATTTTATTCAATTATTTATGCATCTTTTAATAGGTCATAGTCTCTTTCAATTCTCTTCTTAATCTTGAAGCTTATAAATAGGCTTGATTGTTCATTAGTTTATGCACAAGTATTTTATAGAGATTGAGAGGTTATTTGGAGTTGTTATCTTTTGTATTCACTTTATTTTATAGTGAATTCATTTTTCTATCATCTTTCTCTTCAATTCTCTTATTGTTTCTATTTCTTTTATAACAAGTTAATACTTATTGTTATTTATTTCATATTTTGAATATTTTAATTTATCCTTGGTCGATGTAAATTGTTATTTTTATTTGAATTATTATTTTAGTTCCAAGTGAGTCTAGCTCTAGTTACCTAAACTCTAAGTAATTTCGTTTGGACTAATGTTTAGAGGCCCAAGTTTTTTTTAGGCCTAAACGAATTTTACCCTAACTATTTAAGAGTTTTTTTTTTCTTTCTTTTTTTTTTTTTTTATAAGTATATAGTATTTTGATACAAATTAAGCAAAGAAAAATTTTTCTTCTCAAAATTGATGTTCTTCTATTACCTATAACACTTTCTTATCCTTGATACCGATCAATTAAGGTGGCCACTTGATATCACGTTTAAGAATAAAAAACAAGCCCAATGCATGATATGTACTAGGTCGACTAATCTATTTATCAGTTATTATTTCTATCTCGTTCTTATATAATACTCAAAATTTTCCATATGTATTTACATTTCTAATTGCATTCTATTTGTTTCTAAAAGTACTTGAAATATTCAATATGTCTATCTAATTAATTTTCTCGCAAAATAAATTATTTGATTGAAATACCCCTAGTTCAAATGCAAAAAGAAAAGAAAAAAAAACTAAAGACTTCAAAATGGAACAAATAGGTCATTTGATTTTAAGTATTTTTTTTATATTTTAATTAAGGGTATTTTAGTAAAAAAAATTCTATCGCAATTACATATTAAATATTGCATTTTTTTTAAAAATAGATGAAATGCAATTGAAATACTAAGAATAGATGTGAGACTTTGAATATTATATAAAAATATAGTGATGTATTTATCCAATTTTAAGTTATTAATGGAGTAACTAACAATACTTATTCTATAGACCCATTTTGACGAGAGCGACAAACACAAATAAAATAAAAAAATTACATCCATATCTATACAAAATGATAAAAATATTTCCATTTAGACTTTTTTTTTTTTTTTTGAATTCTCTCTCTTATTTCTTATTCTTCTTTATGTATGCCTATCTTATATGGAGTAATTATTATTAGTTATTCTATAAGCATCATAAAATTTCTAGAGGTTTGTTCATTTCTTTAACTTTAACTTTCTAAATACTGCTACCAATATTCAGAAAAATTTATGTCACAAATGCACAAAATAATGTGGGGGCGAGCTCTTAAAACCATATATATATATAATTTCAGTTGATGTCCCAACTATTCTGGATATAATCTTCCCCACTGGCAATCCAAAAAAAAAATTTATTTGAAATACATCTCTTGTATATTCTAATGATAATTCTACTCTATGATATTTAATGTTTGCTTCTTTTTTTCCCCTTAAGTTTCTAGATTCAAACTTTAAACCAATATTTATGAGAATTTATTAATGTTTTATAAATGTATTATATGGATGTAGAGAATGCGTTTTTAAAATTATTTTTTAAAAAATTTCAATTGAGGTGTAAGATGATATTAACATATATTCATCCTTGAATAAAAAAACAAAACAATGATCACGACTCTTACCGCATTAATGTTTGATACGAATTACTAATTTATTTATTTATTTATTTATTTTTGAGGTCAAACAATTAAATGGTTCGCTTGAATTATGCGATCCAATGAAATTTTTGAATTGATAAAATAATACCACGTGAAATCATGACATGCGTTTTTTGTTGGGCGCATTTCTTGACGCATCTGCAATTGGGTTGGAGCTCTTATTAAACTGAATGGGTCAGTGGCCACTGTTCGATGAAAGGTGAATTATATGAAAGGGACCGAAACCATAAACAATATATATATATATATATATATATATATATATATATATATATATAGTGAGTGAGTTGTAAATTAATTAGTTTTTTAAACTAATTATTTAATCTTTTAATAAATTGATCATATTTAATTCAATATTATTTAATTTTATAAAATGTTGTTTTGTCTTATTAATATTTCTATAGTTTTTTTTATTATTTTTTCTTTTTTCTATCTCTTAAAATAAATTCAAAAAAGAAAAAAAGATTAAGTTGTGATAAAAAATTGAAAATATAAGGACTAACTTAGTAGTTCTTGAAATACGAAAGATTAACTAATTTATTTCTCAAAACTAAAAGAATTAATTTATAATTTACTCCCATTATAGTTCATAATTGAAATTATATATATATATATATATATATATATAAGAAAGCCATAAAACTACAAAGCACATAAAGAAAACCAAAAGAAAATGAGAAAAAAAAGAGAAAAACAGAACCATAGAAATGGAAGAAAAGAATCTCAACCAAATCAGCATCCACATCCCTCCAAAGCCCAATTCTAACGCTTCTCGTGCATGACAAGTGAAACGAAAAAAATCTAGTAATATGTCGTTGTTGAAAAATCTTGACTCAATAATATATAGATAATAAGAAAAAACTACATGTTAAAGTTGATTCAAGATTTGGAATCATTCATTTATGGTCTACATTTTTATTTCCAAAAAAAAAAAAAAAGAAAAATCTTATGAATTAAATAAGTAGATTTTACTTATGAATGTTTAATCCATAAGATTAATCATATAGAACGGCCATTATTATTATTATGTAATTTTTTATTTGTTGGTGTAGAAAATTGAAATGAGAATTTTTATTGATTAATTAGTGTGTATTTCCTTCTAAAATTTACATAAAAATACAGTGGAGAAAATGTGAAAGCAATCAACAAAAAAAGTCAGTAAATAATATTTTATTAGTTTTGTTGATTGTCTTAACATGATTGCTACCTAATCTTTTCCTTCTAATGGTTGTAGTAAATCTTTCTCCTATATTATTACAACTCATAGTCGAAGCACACACATGATTGATTATACACAAAAACACATGGCCTTATTACATAAACTGTTTGTTTATTAATTATCCAAATCTTGTTTTTTTTTTTTTTTAAGGATAATCTCACATTAAAAGGGGTGAAAGGGTCATAAAAAAGCTGAGACCTTTCTCTTCAATGTTTTTGCATCCTCCATAAAAATAAATGAAGAATGTCTCTCTAGAAATTGCTACTCTCCCTCTCTCTCTCTCCTTGTTAAGACCGAATTTTGTGCAGTTTTTCTTCTCTTGGCTTTTAGTGGTTGCTATTAATCCTGCTCAATTGAATCTTGCTTTCCATTCTTGGTTCTCTAGACGCAAACACTCCCTATCTAAAGAAATCCACTCCCTCTCTCTCTCTCTCTCTCTAAGTCTAAACGTTCAATCTCTCTCCCTTTCTCTCTCCAAAAATTGGATTGTATTGGCCTCTATGAATATATAGTCTGCCCGTCAATGAACTCCGCTTCTCTACTCTTTTCGAATTTGTTGCACCTTATTTTTTCTAGGCCTTTCTTGATCGAAAAAACACAACTTGATCTGGTCAAATATTGCTCTTTTGGGGTGCTTTAGTGAAGATTTGAAGCTCAATTTCATTAAATTTGCATTGAGTACGGACACATATGTTCTTTTAAGATAGATCTTCTTCTCACATAGATCTGCTCTTTATGAATATGTGCCCCCCTTTGTAGCTTTTGCTAGTATTTTTTAACATAAAATGGAAAGGAGGGAGTGAAGATTCTTATCCCTTTTATCTCTATTTTCTAGTGCTTCATCGACACCAAAAAGGTCATTAAAAAAAATCACCTTTTCCTTGTGTGGTAAGTAAAAAGCTTTAGGATTTCCATTTCATTTGCGTGCTTCTTTTTTTTTTTTTTTCCTGGTGGATTGCCTCATCAACTGCTTCTAAGGTTGTTTCAAGCCAAATCTAAAGCTTTAGCTTGATATTTAGGCTGTAGAATTCTAAAGGTTCTCTCTCTCTCTCTCTCTCTCTCTTACAGGTTCAATTTCAAGGTGAATTTGGTTGATGAATTGGGTCTAAAAGATTTTGTTTAGGATATTCACCAATCAGTTCTTACGGATCCGTCTTCTGAAAATAGTGGGTGTGATTGTCTGGCTGGTCTGGAGTGCATATTAAATATTATCAGGGCCCTCAGGATGGGGTCCTGCTTGTCTGCCGAAAGCAGGAGCCCTCGCCCTGGTACGCCTTCCTCTCCTGCCTTTGGGCTCAGGAAGAGGAAGAACTCCAAAAAGCGTCCAGGGTCTCGGAATTCTTCGTTTGACTATAGGAGGGAAGAACCACTGCATAGGATTCCAGGAAGGTTGTTCTTGAATGGGTCTAGTGATATTGCTTCATTGTTTACCCAGCAAGGCAAGAAAGGAACCAATCAGGATGCCATGATTGTTTGGGAGGTTAGCTCTTTCTTTACTTTCTTATCTTCATTTTCAAAGAATTATTCTTATTTAAATGCTCATAATAATTTAATATATATTTTTGTTACCTTAATGTTGCTTCCCACCCCTGCAATGTAGTTATAACTTGTTCTTTTCTTGAATGAAATGTGCAAAGTAATTATAATTTGTTCTTCTCTTGAATGCTATCTTCAAAGTAATTATAACTTGTTCTTTTCTTGAATGAAATGTTGCATCCTGATGTATTTGCTAGTGCAGTCAATGCGAAAGTAGTATATTAAATTTCCCCCTTTAGAGTTTATAAATTTGTATTATTACCATACATTAAATATATTTTTCATTTAGCCTTCTTGATTTGGATAATTGTAGAAGTTATCTATATCTTTTGAAGCCTCGCTATTATGAAAACTCTATTTGTTTATTGTTTCTTCTTTGTCATCTAGGTTCAGTTTTACAGATTAAGAACTCCTGCAAACACTACCTCTGCTGTGCAGTATTGCTTGCCACTTCTCTATATTAGAAGTACAATGTTATTTATGCCTGTGCTTTAACCTGAAATCAAAGAGAAAAAAATAAAAATGATAGTTATAAATGGAAACAAATCTCACTCTTTGAAGGTTTGTGCATTTCCAGAATTTTGGCTCTAGGACAGACACAGTTTTTTGTGGTGTTTTTGATGGTCACGGACCTTATGGTCATATGGTTGCTAAAAGAGTGAGGGATTCTCTCCCCCAGAAACTGACTGCTCATTGGGAAGTGAATGTAACCAGTGAAGATGTTCTCAGAGAGATCAGTCTTAATACCACAGGGAGCATGAACTCTGAAGATACTTCCTTTATGACTGCTGATGAAGAATCTAGGGCCTCTGTTGATCTTGAGGATGCCGAGAAGCACCCTGAGATTTTTCAGACGCTGAAAGAGTCATTTCTGAAGGCTTTCAAAATCATGGACAGGGAACTGAGGGTGCATGCTAATAGGGAATGCTTTTGTAGTGGGACAACAGCAGTTACTTTAGTCAAGCAGGTGCTACTCATGAGGACCATAGTAGCATATAGCATACTTATGATCTTAAAATTTTTTGGCTTCTTGATTATAATTGTCTGGTGTTTGCATAGGGTAAAAACCTTATCCTTGGAAATGTTGGGGACTCAAGAGCTGTACTGGGTTCAAGGGACAAGGATGATTCTCTTGTTGCTGTTCAGTTGACTGTGGATCTCAAACCGAATCTTCCAGGTAGCTCCCTGCCTTCATTCTATCTCCATGATGAATTCTTTCCAGTTGTATCTTTTTTCTTTTCTTTTTTATTGTGTACGCTGCTGGTGTGCTGTGAGTTTAGGAGCTTTGTAAGGCAGGAATGGTTTGTCCATCACTTGCAATTGATGTCGTTAAAGGAGATAAATGGCAACTTACGCCCTATATGGATATAGCTTTCCATTTTCTATCTCTTCAGTATAAGGAACTCCAGTAGTATTGAACAAGAAAATCAAGACATGCGCTAGAGTACAAAATCCTATGCTCTAACATGGATTATAGACTTTACATAGTCAATAAATAGTTCAAATGTTACCAATATTCCTTGATGATCTAGATTGTATTGGTGATTGATGTGTGTGTTTGATCTGTGGTCTATTTCTGAAGCCGAACACACGCAATTCATGTTTTCAAAACTTGATTGATGAGAAACATTTTGCTCTATTTAATTAATTACAATGAAGAGAAAAGTTGAGTGAGCATGATGATTGATGGCCTAAACTATCCCATGCAAAGAATACTTGTGATGTGAGAGAAAAAGGTTGCCAACTATGACAGAGCTCAAGTGTATTTATGGTATAGATTGCAAGTGAAGGTTGTATAATGAACAGGACAAGGAAGAACTAAATGATCTTGAATGGATACTGGCACCACATTAGTCCAACCATACTCGATTGGTAGGTAAATTACGTAGGACAAATGGCTTAAGGCTTAAATGATGTCAATTGTGTGGTCAAACATGTAGCCTAATTTCTAGTCTCATCTTTCCTTTATAGACAGTTGCAACTTCAAATCTTCCTCCATCAAAACTCACAAATTGTCAAAAAATCAATACATCGATAGTTGTCAACTGGCGAAATGTTTGCCAAATAGGGTTGTATTAACATGTTTGTCACTGGTGACACTTCCATTTTCATTGACCACTGAATTGGAACATTCATTTACTTGCTATATGGGTCAGTGGTTTTATTGCCCCAGTACTTAAATCAAGGCGGCTGATATAACCTAGGGGCTGTAATTGTTTTCAATATCTACATAGAGTCTTGTAATTGAACGTCAACACTAATATGTTTCCTTCTGTGAACTGCTGGGTGATCTTTTCTGTTATCATTATGTAATATCTGTGCTCTGTGGCACCACTACCGTAACTGAATCTGCAATTGAAAACTGTGCTGTAATCTAATTTCGTAGTTCTTACTATCCACTTTCTAGCTTATGCAATATAATTTATTTTGTCTACTACAGCGGAAGCAGAAAGAATTAAAAAGTGTAAAGGGCGTGTTTTTGCTCTTCAGGATGAACCTGAGGTAGCTAGAGTCTGGCTCCCGAATAATGACTCTCCTGGCTTGGCCATGGCACGGGCTTTTGGAGATTTTTGTCTTAAGGATTTTGGTCTCATCTCTGTGCCTGATATATCTTACCGGCGCTTAACTGAGGAGGATGAATTTATAGTGTTGGCTACAGATGGGGTAAGAGCCATTCTTATTCTTGGATCACCGTCCATTAGCTGTAGTTTAGTCAATGAATTTAGCATTCTGTGTCTCATCTATGTGATATTTTGCTGTTTTGATTTATTATAGATTTGGGATGTGCTCTCAAATAAAGAGGTGGTGGACATTGTTGCATCAGTCCCGTCACGTTCCTCTGCTGCAAAAGCCTTGGTCGAGTCAGCAGTTCGAGCCTGGAGGTACAAGTATCCTACCTCCAAAATTGATGACTGTGCTGTAGTTTGCCTCTTCTTCGACTCGAATGATTTATCTACTGCTTCCAATATCAAGTCAAAAGAACAGTTTACTTCAGTGGACCAAGCTGAGAGCGGCAGGCAGAAAGAGGATGATCTCCCTAGTCCAATAGGTCTGGACCGCGTAGGTACTGTGCGAACTGAGAAAGAGGACCTCTTAGGAGGAAATGTAGAGGAAGATTCCACAAATCAAGATGAAATGCAATTGGAATCTGGAATAGACTGGTCTGCTCTTGAAGGAGTCTCTCGTGTCAACACTTTATTGAATCTACCGAGGTTTGTGCCAGGAAAGGAGAAGAAGGCTGCCGGAGAGGCAAAGACTCGAAAATGACAGAAGGAAGAAGGTATTCTTAATCTTGGATTTCTTAACTAATTTTTTTTTTCCCTTTTTTCTGTTATTGTTCATTTTTCTACAGAAGGTGAAAAGATTTTTAGGGCCATAAAATGTTGAAATTGGACCGGAGAGGTGGGCCCGGCTATATTAGCATGTCTGGGAAATTGTCCTTTCTCTCTCTAGTTGTGGGTAGAATTGGAATTTTTGTAAAATCCAACTCTCCGTGTATTTTTGTCTTTTTTTTTTCAATATTAAATTTTGTGTGATCTGTTGGATTTGTCAATGTTGATAATAATCTGGTGATGATAAAAAAGCCTCCTTCAAAGTTTGAACTTGACAATCTGAGGTTTATTTATCTCATATTCAGATATGGACTCTTCTTGCTATGTATGTAGCTCGTTCATTTTGGAGAAAGACTTCACTTCCCTCCCTTTGATAATTATTGGTTCGTTAGTGGTGGGGAGCAAGCAGCAGCAACGTTACTTTCCTTTACAACCAACCTTCATTTGCCCAATTTGAGATGGAAATTGTTTTTGAAGACTTAAATCATAAGAATATGGCACGTTTTAATCAGTTGCTGGGGGAGTCTATAGGACGTTAGTGTCCTAATCATAACCATCTCTTTTTACCTGAAATGTTCAGGACCCCATCAATGTGTTAATCTCTTGTATGCAGATGCTTTTTGGTTCTCCACCACTTTGGAATGTGGGGAGGAAACTTAAAGAAAAATTGAAGGCATTTATCAAGCTTTGCACTGACTTTCCCTCCTATTCTTTCACTCATCGAGTGAGAGATCGAAAATGGTGATTCCTACTGAGGCTTTTGTATGACCCAATACCTTCCCTTAACGTGATATCATTTCTAAACATCAGTCCCAACAATTTGGGAGATGTTCCCATACCTCACCTTCCCGCATCTTGTGCTCTGAAGGCGATATTGACTTTGGTTGTAGGGTTTATTTTGGTTGCTATTTTTGTGATGGGATGGTGCAATAAGGATTGTTTCTCACATACAACTAATTTTGGATTATGTACTAGGGGTTCTGTGCTAAATAACTCTCTGCTTTAGTAAACTTCCAAGTTTTACAGCATGGCTAAATTAGACTGCCCTTGGCTATAGCATATGGGTTAAACACACTTCGTGATTCTGTATTATTTTAAAAATTTTGTTATAACACCTCTATCTAAATATTATTTAAAACAAATCTTATACTATTGGATGTGGGATATAAAATGATCTCTTCGTGAACTCTTTTTGTCATATTGATTGATTTTCTTTATTTGAATACCGTCCGACGAATCAAATAATGCACATGTCAATTTAAGAGTAAAAACATATTTTTTTTAAAAAATTAATTTTAATTTTTATTTTTTCAAAGTTAAAATAATTGATAATTATTATAAAATTATTTAAAAAATAAAAATAAATAACCATTGTAACTAACTATTAGTTAGTTTAGCTAAACCGAATGTAAAATCGGTTAGCCGATAAGTTAGTTGGAGTTAGTTAATTAAGTCGAGTTGGTTTAGTCTCGTTTTCTTGTTTTCTTAGCTTAGTATATATACAAGCATGTGTTTGTTCTTTCGGCAACTAATGAGAAAGAAAAATTTCACTCATTCTCTCTAATATATTTTTTTTCTACTTTTCTAAAATGGTATTAGAGCGGTCGATTTTCTAGGGTTTCATGAACTTCTTGCCATTCATCATCTTCTCAAATTGAATCAATTTGATTCATCAATCAATTGATTTTACTAATAAATTGAATCAAAATTCTCTTTTACTAGCGGGTGTTTCCTTTTCATTCGATTTTGGTCTTGCATTCATCTATGGGTTCGAGAACAATTGATCTTGCAATTTCTACTAGCTTGATATCTCTAATGGAAGATCATGCTCGCCTTATTACTTGCACCACTCGGATCATCATGGATAAGTTACGGTTTCACTTGAGCTCACATTAAGTAATTATGCTACTTCGAGTAGGTCATTTCTGCTTGCACTACCGATTAGGAACAAGACTAGATTTGTGGATGGTTCAATCAAACCTCTGAAGTCACCGATCCTTTGCATAATGCTTGGGTTAGATGTAACAATCTCATAGTTACTTGGTTATTGAGATCAATTTTATCGGCTATTGCATCTACGAGTCTTTTATATTGATTCAACTACAAAGATATGGACAATTTTGATGAAGATATTTTTGCGATCCGGTGATGCAAGAATATGTAATTTGCAAATGCCTTTGTGTATTATTTCTCGGAAAAATAGGTCTATAGATGAGTATTTTATATAGTTGAATGGTGTTTGTGAGGAATTGAGTAACTATAAGCCATTGCCTCATTCTTTTTGTGGAGGATGTAAGGAGGAATGCTTTCGAAATTTATTGATATGCCATGAATTACATTTATAGGGATAATTACACTAAAGAAATGTGTAATTGAAGTAATTAAGGATACAATCGAATCAATTGAGAAATTCGAAACCTAATTTATGCTCTATAGGAGCTCAATTGATAAAATCACATTTTATAAGGATTGAAATTATATGGAAAAGGGGCACGATTGCAGACAATTGAAATTTGAAGGGATCAAATTAGAACTTTATAGTAGACGACGGGACTAAAGTCAAGTAGACGACCTATCGTCCACTTCAACCTAGAATCACTCTTGGGATTGTTTAGTTCGTATTCTCTCGTTGACTCTTAGCTGAAATTAACACTAAAAAAAATTATCGATAATATAATTTAGCGACGGTTTTGCAATAGTCCAAAAATCATTTGTAAAATGTCGGTCGTTAAAATTTTAAGACGGTTTTTGGACCGTTGCTAATTTTGTGACGGACAAAATCGTTGTAAAAAAAAAAAACCATCACAAAATATGATACTAAACCGAGGGAATATTTGCGACGGGATTAAAAACCCTCACTAAGAGCATCGCAATTTTGTGATAGTTTTTTTATCCCGTCATAAATTTTTTAGGATTAGCGACGGTTAGAACCGTCACTAATAGTCCGAATTTCAATTTTATTTTTATTTTACCCCCAATTTGAATATATGAAATTAACCAATTGCTATTTAAAAGTCTACTAAATACCTAAAACTTAATATTTTATTATTTTTAATATAAAATTTATTAAAACGTAATAAATATTATTCAATTATTAAATTCTTGAAAATAGTACAAACTTTGTTGTTATTACAAGAAAATATGATAGCTAGGAGAAATTGATAGGATTGTTACTCGAAGGTTGGTGGAATCGTCCGAAGGTTGGGTGGAGTCGTCGTCAATCTTAGGTACGATAGATAAATTGCCACCTTGTTGAAAATGCTCGTTAGAACATTTGCCGTATCTCGTTTCATCATCGTATGTTATTGTCAAGTATACTTATTCAACTCATTTATTATAGCAAAAAACGATATGATAATACCCCATAGCGATGTGACGAGCACTCCGTAGCTCCCGGATCTCCGCTGTATTTACGGATGTTTGATCATCGACTTTCTTTCGCAGATGCTTTATCACTAGCATGGAACCATGAAGTTGTCGAGCTTGAGGTTGTATTGATGTCGAGTAATAGTGAGATGCGTGTGACCCATGTTCGTACATCCTCTTTCTTTTACTATCTCCTTCACCAAAGAACTTTCCTAAAAATCTCATTAATGTTGACTTCGGTCGATGAAGTCCCCTTCGAATGCCGACTAGCAACCTCCTCCTCATTAATTAATCTTTCTATGGTCTTCTACATAATTGTGAAAGACATAATATTAAATACCTATGTAAAATAACGTTATAAATTAATATATATGAAATAACGTTATATATAAACTAATAAATGACATCAATAACTCTTGACCGTTGATTGACGAAGACATACCGATCATCAACCTTTCTCCGATGAGTCTTCAAGAAAATCTCGTGAGGATCAAGTTCACGACCTAACATCTCACGCCGAAACCAATATACGTAAATGTATTAAATATACTCAAATATTTAATTAATTATTTTGGATATCATTATAAAAAATAATATATATATTTATCATGCGTATTGCATGCTCTCTATGTTTGATCGATCCCCCCGTATGTCTTGAAGAACCAGCTCTAACGTCACCAGGTCTCGCTCTTACGGTTTCGCACCATCATCTCGGATCGAGCAATGGCCTCGGGTTTTGCCCATTCCATAGTCCATACATCCCATATGTCATGTGAGATAAATGCCGGCTTTGACCTTTTCCTAAGATGACAAAGAAAGTCGAAATGTTGCTTTCTCGCTAGACTTTTTCATGCTTTCTTAACTTTGCTTTCATTGATATCATCATCCCATATAAATGATTTATATAAGAAAAATAATAATATTCATTAGTAAATTTATTTGGATATTATTATTTTTTATTTAAATATGAAATAATGTAATAAATTAAATAAATAAATTAGTACCTTAAACTCTTTCCAATAGAATTCTTTTGTCTCCGGACTCATTTTCTTTCACGTCCATCCGTAAATATGAACATACTCGTGGAATGTCTTATAGATCGTGCTAGCGCAAACATCGAAGGATACAACCTATGAAAATAGATATTAATTTAATAAATAAATGAGTACATAACTATGGTAATAAAGAAAAAATGTTTCATAAAATTAAACATAAAACGTACTCATTGCGACCAACAATAATGACCTTAACTCGTGGATCAAGCATGGATATGATAGGTTCTAAAGCCGATGGACAAAGGACATTCTACGATGGGACATATTCAAGAACAGAATGGTTGTCTCGTTGTGATGAAAAAGGCATTGAAGACGATGAAGGAAAAGATGGATGAGGACGTAGAGGTCCATAATAAGGATACGACTCGAGTTGAGACATCTCAAGCCTCGAAGGGTATGTTGGGACGACACCGAAGGGTGGTACGGAGGCATGTCCATGAGGGGGCCAATCCAACCAGGAAAGGAAGGAGAATGGCATCGACGTCCACGATCACCGCTCGAATCGGCTTTTGAA